TTAAAAATGTAAATGATCGTGTTGCTGCAGCCACAGGAGTATCTAAAAACACTGTCGTCCGCATTTCTGGAGAGAGAAAAAAGAATCGATAACCGTGAGATATCGGAATTTTCATCACCAAGAAAAACCATTAAAAAACCAAAAACAGTTAATAATATAGATGAAGCTGCACAAGAATCAAATTTTATTTTTTTATTATTAGATAGCTATTTTTGTTTCTGAGTTGTGTTCATTTACACGCTCAATTTTTTTCCGTTTCTTTTTGATTTTATATGGGGTTTCAAGTTGTTTTTGACTTATTTCGACGTAAATCACAACAACACACTTTTTTAATAAAGCAAACAAGTGTTAAGAGGTATATGTACGTGTAAACTACAATTACAAAAAATTGATATGAAACCCATGAAACCACCAACAAAAATGTAAAGCTAGCTTCCGTACTAGAACATGGTGTCATTCGTCGAGATAATTTATCGTTTTGTTTAATAAATCAAGAAATGTAAATATTCCCCTGTTATTTTTTATAAAATTATAAGAGAAATAAATTTTTTTCTAAATAGTATAGTTTATTATTTTGTAGAAAAACAAAATTTCGAAAATTTTAGTAATGTTTCAGAAACAACCGTTATTAATAATAGGTACTATTTTCCTTAATAAGGTAGAAATAAATTATAAACTATTTCCACGATTTACAAAGGCCTACAAAAAAATTATAGGTATTTTCCGCTATCCTATAAAATTTATATTTTCTGACTCAATTTCAAAAGGTTGAAGGAATTCCAAAACACCTTTTATGGCATAATAATTATTTTCAATTCTACATACTATCTTTAGCTGCTTTTAAAAACGTTCTAAGAAAGTCCAATCAGACCAATTTAATCCCTAAACTATTCCACACTTTTAAAATTTAATTACCTAAAAATATTAAAAACTATTTAAAATAACTTGTTTAGCAGACTGTACAATAGCTATCTTAGTCACACGTAGCGCGTTCTCTGTCTGGGCGTCGAACACCTCTAGAAATTTGATGAACTGTACGTGAGCAATGTTAAGTGATATTTTTTGGTGTTAGTTTTGTGTACTAATAAGATGAAGATTTTTACACACTTAGGTATAGGCGAAAAAAGCTTAGACTCCAGCGCCTCTACCGGTCACTTTTTCGTCCTCCGCTGGGCCATTTATAGTTTGTTTACATTTGTTTTCATATGACATGCCATAGGTTTTTCGTAAGATTAGGTGTTGAATTTTTCGTTTTTAAAGTGTGTAAAAGATTTTGTTAGTTTTAGAGTTGGTTATATATGTATTAATTAAACATTTTTATAGATAGTGGCAGTGTATTTATTTAGCAAAGGTATGTTTACCTTATATTACATTAACCCATAACCTAAATACATAATACTATTTTTACTTGCAGATGTGTGAAATTAGGCTTAGTATTGTCGACAATAGGTCTTTTCCTTTGCATGGAAAGTGTAGCACTGAGCTACACCACTTCTGAAAATATCGTTCCATTTATACAAATTGTATGGATGGAACGATATTTTCAGAAGTGATGTATCTCAGTGCTACACTTTCGATGCAAAGGAAAAGACCTTATATGAAGTATTTAGAAGGGACCAAAAATTCAAAATGTGTTTACGAAGGTGAACACGTTTTAAATGCTGGGCATCTAATATTAGCGGGTAAAACGAAATCCACAGCAACAAATACTAACCTCTATAAAAATAATCGTTTTCAGAGAAATGCAATGAACATACTCTCATGTACGGACTCACAGCTTTCCAATTTTTAATTTTCTTATCCATTCCTTTCTCCGATCAACAGCTTCTCGTTTCCCTAATTTTGTTTCTACCAAAACACGTTGTTCTTTTTTGGGAAATGTATGAAAACTAAGTTCTTTATTTAGTTTTACCCAAGAGGAACACATGGGAACACAACAGTGATGGTTCATTTTGATAAAATAAACAATAATTTTATTAGTTAAACGTCTTTAAAACACCATATACAAACAGAAACCGTAAGATTAACCTATATTATGCTTGAATCACATGAGTAAACAAAACAGTAATGGCCCACTGGAAGGTTTCAAATTAAAACTGTAGGTGGCGTATCGCTTATTTTGTCAAGCCTATTCCGATACAGATATAAAATGTGCCAAAAAAGTTATTAGGAAACTAAGAATTTTATCACATGCATAAATATTAAGTATAATGATTTAATCATTTTTGACATTTTATTTTTCATATATAGGTATTGTATTTTGTGAAATATGTTTTTCTTCTTTAAAATAAATTTAATAAACAATGAACTACAGATTTTGTTTATTTTATTTTGAAATTATATTTAAAAAAATATAATAAATTCGCGTATTTCAATTAGAATTGGTCAAAGTGGGCAAAATCCCTTTATTATGGCTAAATTGTAAGTTACAATTATGTCAATATAAAGATGTTTGGCCCATTCATATTTACATTTATTGAATGAATCATACTGGAGTTGATTTTGGAAATATTGGTGCATACTTAAATAAGTACTATTTCTAAAAATTCGTCTATGCACACATAGTCCAATGGACGTCCACTTTAGATCTATTTGAGGGTCAGGACGTCCATATCCGGGCATCCAGTGTATGTACGTTTATGCTAATTAAATTGACAGTTGAATATCGATACCCAGAGAATGTCTATTTTTGGACTTAATTTTAAGTTCAGTAGTATTTTAACGTCCAGTCATTATTTATTAAGCCTACCAGATAATACCCATCTATATATACTTTTTTTAATATAACTGGTCATTAAAAATTGACAAATTGAATCTATTACATTTCATTCTATCAGCGGAAGTTTGAAATCTTATTCAATTATAACTGTATCTAGTAAAAAGTTTTCAAGTGGTTCCTTGGTCGAGCTCGTCTAGCGATTAAAAGTGTAAAACGATAATGGATGTGTCGTGAGTTCGATTCCTGCTCAGGTCAAGCGATTTTTAATAAAAAATAAATAAATGGTGTATAGCGATTTGCGAAAATAATAAACAAATTATTAATAATATAAAATAGTGTGTGGTGAGTTGCGGTTCTGTAAAAAAGTGGGGATGTGGTCTTAATGGAAATATAATCCTGGATGTTTTTTGAATGTCCAGTATTCGACGTCCAAATATATTCCAGAATTGGACGTCCTCTGAATGGTCAAAAGTGTGCCATTTGTATACTTCACTGGACGTCCATTGGATGTCGGAAGTCCAGAAAACTCATTTTTGGACGTCTAGACATCTAAAATTGTATATCTAATGGACGTCCAATGGACATATTTGTATTGTCTGGGTAATAGCCAGGCCAGGTATTTAACTCTAAATACATAAACCTTAAATAATATCTGGTTTAACTTGGCGAGAAAACACTTGTTTCTACAGAAATGAGTGATAAACTTGAAAGATCTAGAAATTCTAAAAATATGTAAGTACTTTTTAAACCTAAAAGCTTTGAAAATATATGCACATTGCAAATATTTAGTTATACCTCTCAAACTTAATGTATTTTTAATTGTTACCTAAATTTTTTTTGACACCCTTAATTTTATTTACCTTATTTTTAGTTAGGAAAAAGATAATTTAATTTAAATATGGAACTTTTATTACATTTTTAACAATAAATAAACCAAATATTAAACAAATTTTATAGATAAATTATAAAATAATAAACGTCTTTTACTTTTATAATAAATAATGAATTATTACATAATGAATTATATTTTGGTGCCAAAATTTCAGCATTGCTATTAACCCTAACCACTTCGATGTAATTAAATCACATTGCAACATTTGCGCATGGACTATAACAATAATTTCAGATAATTTGCCAAACTGTTCGCTCAGTGTAGAAAATAAGCATGTTTTCTCAGCGTGCTAAGTTGTGTATCAGTCAAAGTCATACTGTGAAAAAGGTACATCCGATATCAAAGGCACCGACAGCTACTGTCGCTTCTCCTTGATCGGTATTATCGGGTGGTACTATAAAAAAATTTTTTTTTTTTCAATTTATTATATTAATTTTAATGCCGAGAAAAGATATTTATTAAAAAAAAAAATTTTTCCTCCATTTGTTTATAAATTTTTTATAAACAAATGGAGTATTTCAATTTTTTTCAATTTTTTTTTACAACTTTCTAGACAATTGCCCCTTGCACCTTGGTTCTATCGAAACGATTATCTTCATAGAGACCTGAAGATGCCTACAATCGAAGAACGAGATTTGCTGCAAAACATGAGGCTTTACTCCACTCCCACATCAACGAAGAAGCGCTGCAATTACTGAACAACTACACACTCAACAGAAGGTTCAAAAGGAAGAAGCCATTTGAGCTAGTGCAGTGAACGTTAATATTAGTGCTAATGTAAAACAGTATAAAAATCGTTACGCCAACTTGTGATGCTTTCCTATAGAAACAATTAAGACGGTCCAATGGGGACTTCTTAGATAAGTAATTAGTTTATAAGATTTTTAGATTAAAATTGTAGGTTAAAGTCAATAATGACTAGTAACAATACTCTAAAATAAATCTATATATTTTATTTATCTTAGAAATTTAAAATGTAGAGTATTTGCAATCTCTGTCTCATTTCAGTCTATTGAGTATGTAATAGATGACCATAAGAAAATACTTTATTGATTAAAAGACAGATAGTTAATTTCGCCGTCCTGTATTATTTTACGAATGGTAGACAATGATGCTAGATAAAAAGTTTGTTTTTACAATCTTAAGATTCAAGTGTAGACTTTAATTTTTTTGTACCTACTTGAGCAATCCGACACTAAATCAATTGTATTATCTTATTGGTACTTTTTAAATAATTATTAAGTAGTAAACATTTTACAAAGATGGAAATAATAAATAAATACAAGCAGCAACTGTAGTAGTGAGACAATTTTAAATAGAAAATCGTTCTTCTAAAATTATTACAAAAAGCTTGTCAAAAATGGTACACATTCATAACACAATGCTTACCTGGCGTCATAATATCGACCACAGATGTATTGGCACTACTATTAACTTTCTGCGTATTATTCCTGGAGCTCCTCGTCCGCTGCCGCGCCTTCCTAAACAACTGTTTATAATTTTCTGTCTTTTTACTTAAATAATAGTACTGTACACAGTCGGCCACCGACTTCCTATCTAAATATGACGCTATAACAACGAAATTTTTCGGATGCTGAAGGTACTTCTCCTTAAAAATTTCTTTTTCCGTGTTCGACCACACGTTGAGGATCTGCCTGCTCTTGTAAACCGGTTCCATGTCCTCCAGGAAGCCGTTGTGGTTGTCGAACTTGATTTTCCTCTCGCGTTGATCGAAAAGGATGGGCGGAATGACGGCGTAGCTCCGCATCTTCTTGTCCTCGAGCGCCTGTTCTTGGAGGTTGTCCATGATTTCTTCCATGTCGGCCTCCGATTTTACTCGGGAACCGACTCGATTGAATCTGCAAATAATAAGACTATTTTTAATAGTAAGAAAAAATGCGTAGCGACTAATTCTATATTATATTCGAGTTTTCAATTAATCGATTACTTTTCGTTTAATTGCTTTCGAGTATTCGATTAATCGAGACATCGATTATTTTTCTTTAATCAGTTATTTTCAAATAATCAATAGAAAATCGATAAATTTATTATTTCCGAATAATCGGATTATCGATTATTATATTAATAAATATATCGATATTAAATGATTTTTAATCTTCTTATATTCGATAGTTTATAATTGATCGAATATTAATAAACATATAACAAGGTAATCAAACGTTTGTTATATAATATAATCGAATTATCGATAGGATTATGTTTGATTAATCGATTAATTGAAAGAAATTGTTGATTTTCCATTAATCGATTAATGATTTAAAAAAACTTAATAGAATAATCGATTATTAATCGATTCAACTATTATTTTGCCCATCTCTTGTTTTTTTGATAGAAAGAAAAATAAAATAGTAGGTTAATATCCTTTCATAATTTTATAGGAGTTTAAGTAATTCAGCTTCATTCTTATTGTTTAATGTACGTATTTTATTCAAGATATAATTTTGATCATGTGATTTTCAAAAAAATTCTTGTCAAATGAGAACAAAAATGAACGAGAAGTGGTTTTATCGTCCTTAAAATTGTATATGTACGAAACAAAAAATAGATTTTAAATTTAAAACATTTTAGAGTATTGTAATACCTTTCTTTATCCTCCCGTTGTTTCCTCAATTCCGGAAAAACCTTCTCGAAGAATTCCCTGTTTTTTGCCTCTTTTCCTTTTCGTTTTGTACTAGATTCAATCTTGTCGACCTTCCTCAGCCAATCCTGCATCATCTTACTATACGTGTCAGTCAAATAGGAATTCCTGGATTCTTTTTCTGTATTTCGTTTTTTAAAATATTCTAACAGCCTCCTCTTAAAAGCTACGTTTTTTCTCTTGTTTTCTTGATAAGCGGACGCGTCGCTGGGCTGGTTGTATAACGGCCATTCCACTTTCGGGCCCAGAGAATCGAGTTGAGCGTGAGCATTCTGGGCCTTTTTTCGGTTCTCCGCATAGATTTTCTAAAAATAAACAGTATTAGTGATATTTTACTAAATCCTCACTTTTAACAAAAGAAAAACATTCATAAACTTTTAATTGTAATACTAATTGTCTAAAACAGAGCAAATAAACTACTCGAAAAAATGTTCTTTTTGTAAAATGTATTTTAATATGGACAAAAAATTCAGTTTGAGACTTCGGAGGACACTTGAGTGAAAGTATAATAAAAAAACTCAAATAATAGCCTTAACATAGCCCAAGAAGTTTAAATAATATTGCAACCCATACATATAAATAACTACTGTGCACAAAATAAACTATATAATAATATCAAACAGTCAGACAAGGAGTAGGTGACTTTGTACAAAGTGATCAAAAATTATTCGTCAAACAATAATTCCAGGGGTGATAGATAGAACACCTAAAAAAGTATGTAATATTTGTCTAAAGACTGAAAATATTTTATAAGATAGAAAAAACAGTAGGATATAATCTATGTTGGTTCCAAGAGAATAATAAATAGTAGGCCAAGTATCACTAACTTCGATAAAATGGACATCTATAATATAGAGGTTATAAAGAATCAGAAACAGAAACAAATTCAGTTAAATTTTATAGAAATTCAAAGAAACTCGTAAAAATTCCTAAAGATTCCTAAAGAACGATTCCTAAAGAAATATTCCTAAAGAAAGATTCATAAAGAAAGATTCATAAAGAAAGATTCATAAAGAAAGAAAGATTCCTAAAGAAAGAAAGATTCCTAAAGAAAGAAAGATTCCTAAAGAAAGAAAGATTGCTAAAGAAAGAAAGATTCCTAAAGAAAGAAAGATTCCTAAAGAAAGATTCCTAAAGAAAGATTCCTAAAGAAAGATTCCTAAAGAAAGATTTCTAAAGAAATATTCCTAAAGAAAGATTCCTAAAGAAAGATTCCTAAAGAAAGATTACTAAAGAAAGATTCCTAAAGAAAGATTCCTAAAGAAAGAAAGATTCCTAAAGAAAGAAAGATTCCTAAAGAAAGAAAGATTCCTAAAGAAAGAAAGATTCCTAAAGAAAGAAAGATTCCTAAAGAAAGATTCCTAAAGAAAGAAAGAAAGAAAGATTGCTAAAGAAAGAAAGATTCCTAAAGAAAGAAAGATTCCTAAAGAAAAATTCCTAAAGAAAGATTCCTAAAGAAAGATTCCTAAAGAAAAATTCCTAAAGAAAGATTCCTAAAGAAAGATTCCTAAAGAAAGATTCCTAAAGAAAGATTCCTAAAGAAAGATTCCTAAAGAAAGATTCCTAAAGAAAGAAAGATTCCTAAAGAAAGAAAGATTCCTAAAGAAAGAAAGATTCCTAAAGAAAGAAAGATTCCTAAAGAAAGATTCCTAAAGAAAGATTCCTAAAGAAAGATTCCTAAAGAAAGATTCATAAAGAAAGATTCCTAAAGAAAGAAAGATTCCTAAAGAAAGATTCCTAAAGAAAGATTTCTAAAGAAATATTCCTAAAGAAAGATTCCTAAAGAAAAGAAAGAAAGATTCCTAAAGAAAGAAAGATTCATAAAGAAAGAAAGATTCCTAAAGAAAGAAAGATTCATAAAGAAAGAAAGAAAGATTCATAAAGAAAGAAAGATTCCTAAAGAAAGAAAGATTCCTAAAGAAAGAAAGATTCCTAAAGAAAGAAAGATTCCTAAAGAAAGAAAGATTGCTAAAGAAAGATTCCTAGATTTCTAAAAATTCATAGAAATTCATATAAATTCATAGACATTCATAGAAATTCATATAAATTCATAGAAATTCATAGAAATTCATAGAAATTCGTAGAAATTCGTAGAAATTCATAGAAATTCATAGAAATTCATAGAAATTCATAGAAATTCATAGAAATTCATAGAAATTCATAGAAATTCATAGCACAAGCTGTCACATAGTGGAGGTGGAGAATTTCCATCACAACTATTACATTGCCAGTGTTTCTTTTTCTTATTGTTTCGTCCATTTTTAAATTAATTCAAAACAATTGACATAAACACTACTGATTCAATCACGGTAAACTTTAAACTGTTGTTACCCATATACCCATAAACTTTATGTACTATTCGTCCTAAATTTATGACACTGGGTTTTAGTTGTAAAATCAATGGCATTTCAAGATAGCTCTGATAAAAGCAACATAAAGCAAATGCGTCTACCAACACACTATGCGCTATATACAGTACTTATTTTTTCGTGTTAAGCATACGACTAGTATACAGTAATTATGTATTACCTATACAGGGTGTTTTTTTTTTAAATCTCCTCTTTTAAATTCACCGTAACCAAATTTTATCAAATGGAAACGGGCTACTTTTCATTGGCACACCCTGTATAAGTCAATAAAATTGCAACAGGGCAACAAGAAGTCGTCGACTAGAATAAGAAGATATGGTGGTAGGATATTAGTTGCCAATATTCACTCTGAAAGCACGGCTATGCCTAATACAAAATAATAACACTCTATATTAATAATTTAAGAAAAAAAAAAAGGTGTCCTTAAACGTGTTAAGAAGTATTATAATCATAGAAAAACATTGACACTCCGATTTTTTAGATCAATCAAATGCCGTTAAAAAGAAAACAACGATTTTACTTATTCTGTAATTAGTATGTATAAAAAGAAAAATAACAAAAAATATTCAAGAAATTTATTAAGATTACCCCAATTAGGAGAAAAGATCGTAGAGAACAAAGCTTGGACAGCTGCAATACGTTCTGCTTAGAACAAGAGGAATACCCGTAAACAAAGTGATAAAATAATTGTAGAAACGAAAGAATAAGAGAAAAATATGAGACATCATCAGAAAGTTAAAGCAAACTAGTATTAACACAATTTAAAGTAATATATTTTAAATGGAGTAATGGATAAAGCAATTTAAAATATTTGAGCTCCATGTTTGGAAGAACTACCTTAAGAATCAGCACACATTTCAGTTAAACTTTTAAGTTTTGAACTAATCCTCTTAATATTGCTATGAACTATCAAAAGAGCCCTACATAAATTTATTTCCACTCATTTTATCCTTAGAAATTACAAATTGTAGTAGGAAATTGAAATTAATTATATTTGAAAAGTAAACGCCAAGGAAGAGACTTTGTTCATCAAGTACAATCACCTAATTGAATGCATTTATCATGTAATATTTATCTTAATATAATTATCTTTTTCCTTGGCACTTTTCCTAGTATAATAACTAGTTGTAAGTGTTATTAGCGGAACGTAATTTCCTGTGAAATTAGGATTATCAGTCTACAAATGTCCCGACAAAATTATTGCTCATTTCTGTTCTAATTGAAAATATAATTTAGACAAAATAATATATTCATTTACCTGCGGTAAACTCTGGTGTTTCGGTGTCGTATCTTCTTCCACTTCAGACTTGACCGCCGGTTTGTTGGCGATTTCTTCCAGTTCTGCTTGTTTCTTCTTCAATATCGATATCTGCGACTCTGCCTTGGCGATTTCCCTGTCAACCTTTCCTATCTGCTGGATGAGTTCGTCTTTGGTTGTCCGGAACGCCTGGTCGTCCTGAGTCATCTGATCCGGCAAAGTCGGCGAAATTGCCTCGAGCGGTGGATTATACGCCCCCGGCTGTACATTGAAATGAAATATAAAAATATTGAATCGGACAATTCTACAATAAATTAAGAATAGTATAGACCTTTTAAAAATTTGTTATTAGTATAGTTATAACGTATAACGTATGTATAACCTCACTATCTAATATTCTCGCGTAATAGCCAAGTGATTGTTTCATTACTCATTTAGTATTTTCTACATTTTTATTTACTGTGACCTTTTAGTAAAACATTTACTACATCCACCAGTTTGTCATCTCAAAAATGATTTATCTATGACAAATGTTTAACAAAGTGTCTATTTTGCTGAAATGTGCACCTTTATTTTATTAATAAGCTTGATGAGAATACAACATTAATATTTTTCTGCGAAATAATGGTTTAATAGATATTCTTTCTTGTGATATTATACCTAAAAAGTACTTGTGAGTATTTTAATTATCTTATTACCTTCTCTATGTCGCAACAACATAGCTTTAAACGTTTTGGACTCAAAAGTTCGTACATTATTTTAAAAATTATCGTTAGAAAAGCTTGTAAAATCTGTTCGATTGCTTCCATTGAAATTTTATTTTAAAGCTGTCAAAACAATTGGTAATATTTTACTTGCCAACCAAGGAAAGCAAATTTTTTAACTGATATGACACTTCTGTAACTGTGGTAATTTGAAGAAATTAGACATTCCAAACAAATGAATTGCCAGTGGGAAGGTTTGGTACATCTAAGGGTTGTGACATAGGATGCATTCTATCTACTATACGTAAAATCATGAATAATGGATTACATTTAAATATTTTATATCAAACACAATAAAAATAATATTTAAGAAATCCGCCTATATATTTCTTCATAAATTGGCAGGTTTGGCGACTACTCTTTCGAATAAAAATAGTGTCCAAGATGCAAGACTGTCGCTACCCCCTTAGATATTCAAGAACTTCCCACTGGCACCTATTGCTTGACAGGTCGTTGGAATGCCCAATTGAATGCACCACGTGGCTGCCAGATTTGATAATATTTATTATCTTTAGAGAAACCAAAGGAATAATAAAAAAAAAAAAATAGTGGAACTAAATAAGTAAAACTACGGTTTTTTAGAGTCAGCATAGTTAAGCAGAGAATACAATAGACTGTCAAGTGAAATGACGTTAGGATAATTTGTATTATTATTAGGCATTCCAAGGACCTCTCAAAGTGGGAACTGACGTTTAGATATGGCAAGCCTGTGGCCTGCTGTTATTGACAGGTTCAATGATACATAAGTTGTATAGATTGCTCAAAGCGGGTCCTTCTGCGAGTGGCCATATTGCCTTCCAAGTGATCATTAATCAGAATCAGCTTACCAAAAATGTGTTAACAAACCAAATTTCAGCCTTTGAATATAGTAAAAAAATAATTACTTCAAGGCATAAGCTTATGTATATTTTCAAAAATATGAATGATTAATCTATATAATTATCTATTTCATTGACCCTAATAAATCACCAGGCTTACAGAGTTGCCATAATATTGTCATATCATAACCTTTCAAAACCCACTGGTAGTAATTTTGTTTGGAATGCCTAATAGGCATTCCAACAACCTGTCAAAATGCTGCCAGTGGGAACTGACAGTTTAGATGTGGCAACCCTGTAGGCCTGTTGACATTGACAGAGTCAATGATATATATTCATATAGATTGCTCAAAGCGGGTCGTTTGCGAACGGCCATATTGTCTGGAAAATGTTTATTAATTTGAATGGGTTTGGCAAAAATGTGTTTTAAAACCAATTTCCAGCCTTTGAATAGTAAAAAAAAATAGTTATAGTAAAACCAGAGATCAAGTGATACAAGGGGAGGCAAGATTAGGTGCTTACAGATTAGGGAATACACTGGGAAATCTTGACATTAGGCCAGGTCACATGAGTATCTCAAGGTTAGTGACAGGAGACGTGCTAGACATGAGATCAGACCACATAACCAAGAGGTACCCTTTTAATACTCCATTTGAGGTTTTAATACAGGAAAGAGTGGAGATCACCATAAGGGAGCCCAATGCCCAACGACAGGAACAAACCTGGTATACAGACGGGTCTAAGACTGCGGAAGGCACTGGGGCGGGAGTATTCTCCAAAAACCCTGATACTAACCATAGCTATGCTATAAAAATACATTCCTCGGTATTTCAGGCCGAGGTATACGCAATTTTGCAATGTGCAAAAATGAACAATGAAAAAGCATACATATTCAAATAATGTCAGTCAGCCAAGCGGCACTTAAGGCCATATCGAGTCAGAAAGTTACGTTGAGGCTGGTATGGGAATGCATCGAAGAACTAAGATCACTGGCAGACCGAAATAGAGCAAAACTATTTTGGGTGCCAGGTCACCAAGGGATCGAAGGCAACGAAAAGGCTGACGAACTTGCAAAAAAAGGATCAGAAGAAACACCGGAACCAGACACAAACCCAGGAGTACCAAAAAGTAGAGTCCGGGGTTTCATAAACGACTGGATTCGGGAACAACATATTAACTATTGGGGAAGTACCCCAAAACAGGCACATGGAAAAGCCTTCATAGGCAGACCATGTCCCAAAAGAACTGGAGAACTACTCTTTATGAATAGGACCCAGTTGAAAGTGATAACAGGGTTCGTGACTGGGCACGCCCCAGTAAAGGGACACTTGAACAAAATTGGTATGTACAATGGAGAACTCATGTGCCGACTATGTCACAAGAAACCAGAAACGGCCAAACACATACTGTGCGAATGCGAAGCTCTAGATCGCCAGAGACAGGCATTTTTTGGACAACCCCAGGTTGATCCAACAACGTATAGAACCCACTTACCCAAGGATCTGTACAAACTTGTACAGGGTAAAAAGGTTACAGAGTGGGTGCTATGAACTAAAGTCTGGTTTATCAGCCCCATTTGATATTTGATATCATCTTGTCTCATTTGGATGATAGAAGAATAACCACCCTTTCCAAATTTTTTAATTTATTTAAAATCACTATCTAGTAAAAGCAAATCAACTTTATCTGTGTAAATTGTTCGTAGAGTCCAGAAAAAGAAAAGAAGAAGATTTTGGTGTTTTTAACCTAAGATTCTGTTATTTTCGTGTAAGGCATGTGCACGATTGCCAAACCTTCCAATTTGTAACAAGACCCAGATTAATAATTGACAGAGAGGGGAAGGGTTGGCTAAGTGGTTAGAGTTTCAAGAGGTTATGACTTTGAGACTGAAGGTTTTCAGGTTTGAATCCCGCTGGTGACAAGATTTGTATTTAATTTAATGAATTAAATATCAATTCTAATGCATACGCAGGATTCATTAACAGTACCGTTCCTAAAGTGGCGCTGGAAAACAGTAACGAATCCGTTAAATGCATTTTTTAAAGCCTTGAATTGGCCTTAAACTCACCCGTGTGTCGATCCTAAGCGGCTGCACTGCCTCCTTGTCCTGCAATCGCATCTTCTTCAGCGGTTGCTGGCCGCTCGCGAGTCCTCCACCACCAGCGATGCCGGCAACGCCGATGCTGATACCGCCCCCGCCTCCATCGACGCACACCACTCCCTGCTGGACGTTCGGCTGGTGATGGTCGGGCCTGGGCCGACCGCCCGGCCCGTACTCGGGATGCAGCAGCGATATCCGGTTTTGCCGGTAGTCGCGATGGAAGACGCTGGATATAATGGGCGGAGGCGGCGGTTGTGACACCGCCACCGGTACCGGGGCCGGTGACGGTTGTTGTTGCTGCTGCTGCTGTTGTTGTGAAGGCTGCTGGTAGCGTTGCTGTTGAGGGGGTACATTCTGGAATACGCAAAATATACGATTTAATACAGGAATTTTGCAATGTATAGCAGGATTAAGGGCGAGCACTCGATTAAAAAAATAAATGAATATTTAATTTTTATTCAAAGCAGTGAGAAATATACGGTTTGAATTCAAACATGAAAGGGCTTCGAAAACAGTATTTTAGTTAGGAGCTTTCATGAATTAGTTTTTTTTTAACATGCTAAAATATCATAAATAAAATATTAGCTCCTACCAAAAACGCCTTTTTTATATTTTAAAATGCAAATATTTTTATCTTTGTCAAGTATAAAAGCGGGTAGGGTTTCCAAGTAACAATTTGACATTTTATAAAAGCTGAAAGAATGTTTACAAAACAAAAATTTATAAATCTAAGAACAAAAATTTATAAATCTAAGAACAAAAACATTTCAATGGAAATTATAAAACTGATAAGTTATCGTATGTGGCTGATATGACTAGTGAATAAGAGCAAAAATCTTTAGAACAAGGACATTATTTGTATTAAAAGTAGCGTTGATGGCTTAGGCTTAGAAGAACATGACAGGAGATCCTCAAAGACGTTTGTCAAGATGAAGCAGAAGATAGATCTCTTCTGTACGGTATCAATAATGGAAAAGTACCAATATGGAATGTCCGAGCTTATCCTTCAATAGATTCGACGAAGTACTTCCTTGTCTTTAGTAGTGTCGTGAGATTGCCTGAAGACGACTCTGTTCTTTGTTTACTACGATATCCGCGACATGAAGTGTAGTGCTGGCCATATCGAGACCCGCCTCGAGACTCTAGAAACCGACTTGAGTGTTTTCTATCGCAGTCTGACGCGTGGAGGATAATTTCCAGAACTTCTAGACTGAGCTTCTAGTCAAAGTTAGTTCTTTCTAGACTGTTTAGGTGCTTAGGTATTAAATAAATTAATTAGTAAGTTATAAATAAAGTGTTTTTAATAAAAAAACTATTTTAAATTAATCAATCGTTACAGTATGAATATTGATTTATCACCAATAATAGCTGCAAAGAACGACACACGTTTAGGCCAAATATCTTAAATTTGGTGACACGAGTAGGATTATCAAACGTCAGGAAAAGTCTGAACATGTCCATAATTCCGGCTTTATGTCCGGAATGCGCCTTGAATTATAAATTGTCCGGAACTATTTTTGTTTTTAGTTTTTGAAGATAGGCACTTTTTTTATTAAAACGTTTAGTAATTATTTCATAAATTAGAGTTTTTATTTTGTCCGAAATTTTAAAGAAATTACCGGATTTTAAAAGAAATGTCCAGATTTTAAAAGAAATGTCCAGATTTTAAAAGAAATTTCCGGATTTTTAAAGAAAAGTCCGGAATTTGTATTAGGAAGATCAGGAAATTGTATTTTTGAATACAGTAACCCTTGATACGAGGGACTTTTTATACGACATAGTGTTTATAAAGGGAGTAGAAGTGGTCGGTGTGCTTTTTCTTTGATACTACGCAGAACTGTGTCTAGTCAATATTCAAAACAAACATAATTGCGGTGCTATCTCCTGGAAAGGCAATGGCAAACTACAAGGTAATAATTTGCTTCGTAAACCCTCTACTTAAACGTTCGGAATCGGAATTAAACCGGAGATATTTCTATTCGTGAACCACTGAATCACGTACTGCACGAACAGCAGAGACGTCGTCTATTTTCGATTATGAATATGGAAAATTAATCCAATATAGATTTGCAGTCAAATTATTAAGTACTTGTAGATTTTCTAGAAAATATGTGTGGTTTTTAAATAGTATATTGCGCATATTACGCACGTACTATACTTTACCTACGACCAATTACAAATGCAAATAATGAAAGATTATACATTATCTCAAATGTGATCGGTGATTGTAAAGAGTAACTTTACACACTTATAAATAACTATTTAGCAATTCTATATAGTGTTGAATATATATAAACAAACTTACTATTATTTATTTAATTAATATAGGTAAGTCATAGATGTATTCCTAATTTTTGAATAGAGTAAGTACTTACCTGAGGTTGTGGTTGCAGCTGGGGTGAGGATGGGTAAGGGTAACGGGCCGCTGCAGTCGATATGGGGGACCTGGATGGCTTGTATATATCGGCGGCCGAATGCGTCGCCGTTTGGCTGTGGTTAGGTCTGAAACAAAGAGAAAAATCCATCGTTACTACAATTATTACGTACAATTTATGGCATACGGGTCGGCAAATAGAAGCATTCAAAAATTTATGAACAATTATTTCAACCGCAAAATAATTTCTCTGTCGTTTTCCAACGGAAACAATATTTTTACGATCAAATCATGAAAGGTGGTTATTATAAGTACCCAGATTGTAATTGTAAGTTTTGCGTTTGACTGATATAGTAGGCATTTATAACTAACATTTTAATACAAAAGAATCCAATAACGTATTAATCAGTTATCAAATAAAAGCCTAATTTTAACAAAAAATGTACTTGCGTAATAGTATTTTGTTTGTAAGTATGTAGTTGTTTTAAAATAAGTAGAGTTGATAAATTATGTACAATATAAATTTCTTTTGTGTATAAAAAAAAACTATCTAAACGATATGCAATCTTGAACAATTTCGTTCAATCTATCAACCTACACCTTTTTCTCAACGTTCGTCATTTTTTCAGATTTTTTTGGACATTACTTTTGGAAATAAGTTGAGGGGACAGCAATTCAAGCATTTTTATGAAAAACTATGAAAAACTATAAAAAAAACTATAAAAAAAACTATAAAAAAAACTATAAAAAAAACTATGAAAACCTATGAAAAACTATGAAAAACTATACAAAAATACGAAAAACTATTAAATATTATTCTGAAAAACCATAAAAAAAACTTGAAAACTATGAAAAACTATGAACAACGTCGAAAACAATGAAAACGACAAAAAATTATGAAAATGATAAAAAACGACGGAAACGATGAAAAACGACAAAAATTATGGCAAGGATAGAAACGATAAAAAACATCGAGAAACAACGAAACCTAATAAAAACTACGAAACCTAATAAAAACGACGAAAACTAATAAAAACTGTGGAAACTCGAAAACAATGAAAAAAGTCGAAAACAACGAAAAACGATAGAAACAATAAAAGCGCAGAAAACGATAAAAAACGAAAAGAAACGACGAAACCTAATAAAAACTACGAAAACTAATAAAAACGATGGAAACTTCGAAAACGATGAAAAACTATAAAAAGCGCCAAAAACAATGAAAACGACAAAAAATATGAAAACGACAAAAAATATGAAAACGATAAAAAACGACGGAAACGATGAAAAACGACAAAAAATGATGGAAGCAATAAAAGCGCAGAAAACGATAAAAAACGTCGAGAAACGACGAAACCTAATAAAAACGACGAAAACTAATAAAAATGATGGAAACGTCGAAAACGATGAAAAACTATGAAAAACGCCGAAAACAATCAAAACGACAAAAAAATTATGAAAACGATAAAAAAAACGACGGAAGCGATGAAAAACGACAAAAAGGATGGCAAGGACAGAAACGATAAAAAACGTCGAAAAACGACGAAGACTAATAAAAATGACGAAACCTAATAAAATAAACAAAAACTAATAATAACGATGGAAACGTCGAAAACAATGGAAAACGTCGAAAACAATGAAAACGACGAAAACAATGAAAACGCCAAAAAAAATTATGAAAACGATAAAAACGACAAAAATGATGACAAGCACAGAAACGATAAAAAACGTCGAGAAACGACGAAAACTAATAAAAACGACGAAACCTAATAAAAACGACAAAAACTAATAAAAACGATGGAAACGTCGAAAACAATGAAAAACGTCGAAAACAACGAAAAACGATGGAAACAATAAAAGCGCAGAAAACGATAAAAAAAAACGTCGAAGACGACGAAAACCGATGAACACAATAAAAACGACGGAAACGATGGTAAGAACAACGATAAAAAACGACCAAGTATAACGAAAAAAAAAAAAAAAAAAAAAAAAAAAAGACGAACAACGACGGAAACTAATAAAGACGATAAAAGAAGAAAACGTTTTCAGTTATATTTAATTAGTAAAATTCATAATTTAAAATTTTCGTGTTAATTATATTTTTAAAATAGTTATTTAATCTGCTAAACTCCCAAATTAGTTTTAAAATTTTGTAGATTTTCGTTAGTGGGTCGTATAAAAAATATATCGTAAAACTCGTATCGCACTCATAGGATTGAGCACTCTGCCTACGCCGTCGTACTTAAATTTCGTCTTCATGCGATATTCGTGAGAAACGGTACAACTCAAAAAACTTCAATTCGAGATAATCAAGATTAAAAATTCTTTCCTTTGATTTGACATGTTGAAAATTAAAAAGTGTTTGAAGTGTCGTTGTTTCTGTTGGTGTAATTATCTCAGAATTGATGATTACTATTGTTATTAAATTTGAATGACAATATAAGCTGTTGCGTTCAAAAACAGTGTGCAGCCAGAATTGCAACTAGACAACCTGAAATTATGGTTCTTCTACATATCAACATCAACTTAAAATTACATGACCTCCAGTATACACCATAACGACCAAGTAAAAAATAATCAGAATAAAAGCAGTCACTTTACCATATCTTCTCGTCCGTTTATCAATTCCTTTTGTTTATACAACACAAAAAAACAACGAATAATAAATTACCCACTTCGTATGTAATTGTGTTTCCTTTGATAGGCAGATAACGTTAGTACAATGCAGGTTGCAGTAATGATTACAATACAGGTTACATTAATGTTGTGATAATTTTACACAGTCAACGAATCAACGCAACAATCAAAAGAGTACGATAATCCCAGGGCGTAAAACAAAACATCAAAGGAGATTCACTTCAAGCTCTTTTGAATAATGGCATAGAGAACAATTTTATTGTTTAATACGTTATAGTGGTACACGTTCTTCTTATACATTAGAATAAGTTGCTCTAAGGGCCATTAAAAATTGTTAAATTATTATTTAAAAAAAAAGTTATCCAAAGACTGCTTTAGACTACACAATTTAAATTGTAAACCTTTTTAATTGGACATTTTATGTTAGGTATGAATTAATTTAGTTTCTTGAAAACTTTATACAATTTTCTGATAATTTTCTTATAATAAAAAATTACTTAAAGAACAGATGAATTATTAGACATAACGAAAACGCTTCTGGCAATTTTGAACTCTGGAGTTCCCCAGGGTTCGGAACTGAGAGGATTATTATGTATACTATTTATTAATGATCTATCTTCTATTCTTAAATATTTGGAGTGCCTTTTGTTTGCCGATGATATAAAAATATTTGAACGCGTTCAAAATTTAAGAAATTCCGTTAAAGTGCAAATAAATTTCGAGTTTAAACCAAATTACATTGTGAATTTAGTTATAATTACCCCTTTTTAACATTTCATCTAAGAATTGTGTTTAGGGATAGGCAATATTTGACTCAAACGAACGTATAATTAGAGTACTTTTTAGTAGTGATATGAAATTCGGGGAGTTACATTTAAAAAAATTGAGAAAATCATATATCTGAGTTTTGACTCACCCTGTACACGTCTGTTGCGCTAGGAAAAAATTAGTATATTCTTATAAAAGTAGACTATCATTAAAAATGATTCATAAAAAAATTTTGATGTTCGATTGTTTCTTTTGAAATATACAGAGGGTTAAACCTAGTACGATTTTCATATAAAATTGGTTTAAACTTCCAAAATACCCAGTATAATGTTAATAATTACATGTTGGTATTTTCTTGAAGGGCAAAGTCAGAGTAATTCAAATTTACAATTAAATACAGGGTGGTCCATTTAAAAAACAGGTTTGATCAATTCTGAAGTTATGGATCACTCTGTATAATCTAAAATAATTTTGAAATGTGCAGATTAATATTATCTACAACTTTTGTAAATAACATTGTTTGATATTTTCTATAATATAGGATATATCGAACTTCCACACACTATTGGGACACCCTGTATGTTATCGAAATTTATTTGGAATTTAACGCAATCTCATTCATTTTGAACTATTTTAAATATTTTTTAATCATCGACAAACAAGAGGCTACTTAAAAGTGTTTTCGTTATGTCTTACAATATATCCACATAAGAAAATTATCAGAAAGTTATATAGAGTTTTATAGAAACTGAATTAATTCATACCTACACAAATGCCAATTAAAGAGGATTAAAAGCATTAAAAATCTAGGTTACTTGTATCATCCTCTCAATGGCTTGAAAATAACCTTGCGCAGGAGTATAAATTACAACATGAGTAATTATATTAATTATCTATTACACGAATAACGCAATTCTCTTACTAACAATTACATTTTTTTTTCTCTGGTTACAACCGCGCGTTCATTGAACTTTGGCGTGCAAAGATCTATAATGCATAATACGGCTTCTCAAGAAGGGACGTCTAGTGCTTTAATGTACGAGACGACACACAATCAGAGGTCGATCCTGTTTTGAACTTTGCTTTAGTACCTAACCATATTGTCAAAGTGTGTTATAACAATATGTCCATAAATTTCGTATTCTATTATGGCCTTTACAACAATGTAGGGTTATTAGTTTTGTTAATGTTATTTAGTGTGCAATGAATGGTTTTTGTTTTTATACACAAAAAGATTGCATGTATTTGTGAATAATGTAAAGACGTTACTAATGTTATACTTTCGTTTTTTTTTTATTATATTTTTATAACTGAAAAAACTAAAGCTAAAAAACGAAAAATGTAATATACATATTTTTAATTTAAAATATTTATCGAAAATTATGTATTTATGAAATTCACTTTATCACTCTGTACATTACGGGAAAATTATATTTAGCTTTTCTTATTAATTAGTTAAGATCTACAAGTCCCCAGTTTATGGTACTTTATTCTAAAACACCCTGTGTAGGGTGAACCATCCGGTTATTGACCACATCTCAGTAAATGACCAATATTTACTGATTTATGATTTATTAAGAATTTTTAATAACCTAAGGCATCATATTATACAGCAAATTGATCCTCACCTAATTCTCAATTTTTTATACATTTGACAACACTGCTCATAATCGGCAGTTTACAAATGTCAGTTAAAAGTGCATGTGTTTTTGTTTCCTTCTCAAAT